ACGGGATAGTTCTAGAAACAAGAGGGCATGAGAATTGTCACGTGATCTGGATGACGCAACAATATATTTAAACAATATTTTATCCTTTACACACATCTATATTCATATATTTAAACAATATTTTATCCTTTCATGTGTGTATATTGTTTAAAAATAACCTTCATGTATTATATTTTTTTATTGTGTAGAAAATTCATTTAATCAAAGATTGATTTTGCTTTTGAGAAGATCAGAAGATGCTTTACAAGATTATTTTTACTTTTTATTATCAATTACTGATTACAATGTAAGTTAAATCATTTCAAAAGATGTTTAAAATTGTATTTAAAAATTAATACATGGAGATAGTTAGTAAGTCTCAGTTCAAAAAAATAAAGTAAACGCTATATCAGATATGACAAGACAGCTGTTTTTAATATCTGTAAACTATTAAAGTTCTCCTATTATAGAAAGAGTTCAAACTGTGACCTCCTAGATGTTAAACATAAAGCTGTTAACATTATATGTGTGTGTGTGTGCATTTCAATACATACAAAAATCTTTTAACATAGACATAAATACCATAAAAGATAACCACAGTATAGTACAGAAAGATCTTTCTGAGATATTACTGATTAGTATTATTTTTTCTGTGTGCATGAGAAAGATATTTGGTGAGGAAAGCTGTCCACCTGGTGTTTTCTCCACAGAGTGATGATATCCTTGTAGCCGATAGAACAGGCGATGTTTACAAGTTCTCTCTTAGTAACCCTCTACACGAAGGCATCTTGGTGCTTGGTCATCTTTCAATATTGTTGGATATGGTAAGTAAACCACATATTCAACCCTGTATCAAACAGTTTTATAAATACTTGCCAAAATAAATAATCATAGTTTGTCTTAAATTTGTATATAATGAAACAATACTTTTTGGCTATTTGAAGAAATTCAGCTACTGCACATGAAATGTTAAGTTTTATATTTTTCCTGTAAAACTTTGCTGTTCCATCTAACTATTCTCAGGAATGACTTTATTTTAACATTTTTGTTCAAGCAAAAGCTGAACTGTTCTTATATAAAAGAACGTGTTTAGAAGTTAAAGGAAATTATTTACTTCCTTGATAAAAAATGAAACCATTAGAATGAACTCCTTTTATGTGTTATAAATGTTTTTATCTAATTAAATTTTGATGGATTTTAAAAATTAAATATTTGTTATAAATGTTAACATTGTCCAAACTTTCACTGCCCCGTATATTATTCAACGTATATTATCAGTAGAGGCTCGGTCACTCTGATGGACCTTAAAACCACCAGATGACCATGCAACTATACATACATTAACTTGTAATGTATTAAATGTATCTTCAGGAAACTTGGCAAACTTTTAGTAAGCATTACAAGTCTTGGGTACACACATTGGGGTAAACACTGCTTAATAATACTCACTGAGGATTACTCCAAATGGTTAAAACTATTTTGGAAGGATGAATGCTGTCCTAGAAAGCAGTGTATCAAGATGATATCTCTAAATAGTTATACTCATCCCAGTTTTGTTGACTTAATTATAAACTGGTTGGAAAAAATCTGTTGTTATAGTTATTTTAATGTAAGTTGTATGACATGTTACTTTTTTTGTGTCAAGTATTGTAACGAGTCAGAATGATATGATAATTATTACATATTTTCTGTTTTAGCCATCATTAAAAATGAATTTGTTATAAGTCACTGTATTTTCTCTAACCAGCTATCTTATATAGCAGCTGCCACTTTCCGTGCTGTATTTATAAAGCTACACTGGCAGACAAAGTTCAACTATCACTTTTGAAATGATGGGAGAAAGGCATGAATAATATTGATGCTAAATTTTATTTCACAAGCAGGATATTCTACACTAAATTGTTAGGAATTAATCACACTATCATTCACATTTCAAAATGTATACAAATGTGGATTTACCTTATGTTATTGTTGAACTACTCTTAGCATGACTGAAATGCTCAACAATTTGGCTCTGAGTAAAATCAAGGTTGCAAAACGATTAACCTTAGTGTCCATAAAATAGTTTAAACTGATAGATTAACTTAAATATTTCCTGTCACTGGATACAGGTACTTTTGCTTGTTATAATATAATGCAAAGTAAAGGAAAAGTTAGTTGAACAAGCATGGAAACTGGTTTTGTAAGAAGGATTTTAGATGTTAGTGGAACTGCCTTTTTCTTTTTTAAACAATCATTCATCAGCTTTAAAAGTTTTGTTTTCTATCCTCCATTGACATTGAACTCTTCACTTACAGATTGTGGAATAGTTAGGAGAAATGTCTTATAAAAGAAATATAGCAAGTTACGTTTGTTTTTGCCAGTATTTTGCTTCTATAGTATCAACAAATTGTTATTTGAAACTGAAATTATTGATAATAACAGGATTAACACACTCATTCCAAGTACTGCATCTTTTGTGTGGCTAACATTAAAAGTGGATCCATGATCTGTAATTCTACATGGACTGTCTGTCGTGTGAAGAGAACCAAGTTGACTGAGCGGCTCAATCTGATTGGACAACAAGTGTACTCTTGGGTAAGAGCTATGTAGGTCTGTTGTGCAGAGATTGTTAACATATAAACCAAGATAAAACTGAAAGAATCAGTGTACAGAAGATCCAAAAATCAGAGGTCTTGGCTCGGACATTAACAGTTTCTGGACACCTCTGATCAACAGACCTAAACAGTTTTGTGATAAAACTGCACTTGTCATCTAATCACAGGCCTCCTTTAACTCATGAAGGTAAAAAGAGTACCAAAATGTGTCTTTTACCTAAGATTTTAAGGCAGACTGTCCATTCAGAAGTACTCACAATGGATCAATACCATTGCTTTTGAAATCTATAAATTCTATATTTGTTACAGATAATTGTATCATTGTTTTTTTCTCTTTGCATCTGACTCAATGGGTGATTTAAAATTATATTTTTCTGACCATATTTTATTGAAGTTTTTAATAGTTTTCAATTTTTAGGTGATCACACCAGATGGAAGGTTTATTATAACTTGTGATAGGGACGAAAAAATCAGAGTAACATCCTATCCTAATGCATACAACATTCATACATATTGTCTTGGACATACTGAGTGAGTAGAATTTATTTGTATGTTCTTTAAATTTTTCAACACTTAATAACTTACCAAGTATGATTACCTAAAGTAGGATGAGTATTATGTTGAACAGTTTCTGTAGCTTCTGAAACACATCAGCATCAGTAGAAGGGACAAAAAAAATGTTAAGATATTATTCAGTCATTGTTGGACCTGGTGGTGGGCGAAACTATAAAGAACTTTAAATAAACTTAGTAAAGGGATCATGCTCAGTGAAATTTTCAAATCAACCACCTGTGGTTAACCCAAAGGACGAAGAATATTTTATAAACTATCGTTACTCACAACTGGTGCTAAGTACAGTTTAAGTAAGGTTCTATTCTCCTTTATTTTTACAGTTTTATTCTTTGGAGCTTTAGGTTTAATAGATAACAAGCAAAATGTATAATTTTAGCATTGCTATAACAATGTTTTTGAATCTTTCACTTCTTGGACTCGTGTGCCCTCCTCTGTATCACTGGCACAGGTACACATGTCTCCTTCTAGAGCACTGAAACAGGCTCATATACCTTATACAATCCTTGTTTTAGCCTTGAAAAGTATTATATTAAGTGTTTTGTTGTGCAGTAAAATGAACAATTTTATAATTTCAAAAACATGAATATTATATATAAGTTTACAAATTTTGGAAATACATTCATGAATAATTATTTTACTGAGTACTTACAATGCACAACATTGATTGTGTGTCTGTGTGAATTAAAAACTAAACTGGAAGATTTGTTTACCTATAAACAAAAAAGTCAATACATACCACTGTTCATGCACTTTTCTGATATTTTTCTTTGTTTTTTAAACTTTTTTTTAGACTTTTCAAAATCTTTTTTTTTTTCAGGTTTGTCACATCTCTTGCTATTTTGCCTAGTCATACACAGTTCCTTGTTTCAGCATCTGGAGTATGTATGATTTTATTACATCTCTTTTCAAATAATTTTTAGAGCCTACATACACTGTGTTTCACTATGGATGTCAGAAATTATATTTTTGTTTCATAAAAAAAATATCTTTTAATAAATGGAATACATGTTATTTTCAGGCATGTCATCCAATTTCATTAGCAAAGAAAAGCTTAAAGATTAACCCAGAATTCCTGCAAAAACTTTAAATTTTTTAAATTAATATCCAAGCCTAGAGAAGTCATGTGACCTTATCAAATGCATTATCTGATTTAAAAACAGTTAATCATTCTATTTAACAGCTAACTTAATTATTATGTGGTTAATTAATCCTTTATACACGGGTGGACGTGATTACCACCTGCTTGACTGGGAAAGGACATTTATATATGCAACAATACATATGGCAACTCTAAGCATTCATTACAAACCTTGGTAAGATTTTGTTAAAGTTTATAAGTGTCTTTTACACAAAGAATGACATGATTCTAATTACGTGTTTCTAATAAAAATGTTATTTATGTATAGTAGTTATTTGTACTTAGACTGTGAATGGTTTGAGTACAAGGTGATTGTCATTTCAAGTATAAAAATACTTTTATTCATCTTATAATTTTCATATTTTATTTGCATAATCTCAAGAACCACCCTAAATAACTATCAAGCATTTTTTTAAGGTAAATGTTTATATTTTATTTTTCATTTTCTCTATCATATCACTAACTATAGTTATTATCATCAACATACAATGCAATGAAATAATTAAAATTAGGAAATAAAAAAATACATAACTTTTAATTTTTGTAAAATATCTTTACAGATGTTGTTTTGCTTATATTCATAATTTCTTGTCTTTTCCTGTTCACATGTAGCTAATTTTTAATGTTTTATTTTCTGTTCTCCTTTACCACTTATTATTGATTTTGACCCAAGTCAGTGGTGCCCTCGAGGCATATTACAGTGTGTTTAGCAGACATTTGCAACCCTAAAGGAAAATTTTCATGCACCTTGTTATATCCTAAGCCTTGAGAACTGATGTAAAGTATGGTGTATATTGAAAAAATGTTTAAACATAATTAACTAAAATATAAAAAGTAAGACCTAAGTATAGTTTAACTGTATCTCTAACTATAACATATTTAGGTAAGAAACAACCGTAAGTGCCATAGATCAAAAATCCAACAATACTATAGTCAGTTACATGTATTCCATGGCAACAATTGAGCACCAATTTCAAAATAACTGGTCGTAGATTATAGTGTAAAATGAGCTGTTTCTAATGAGTATACACATGTGTAAGTAACATCTACATGTAGCCTATAAAGTTCAAACAAATCTGTTGAAGGGGGTATTACTTGTTTCAATTGCATTCATTCAGAGAACTTTAAAATGAATGAATCAAAAGGTTATGTAAGCATCTTATTGTCTAAACGTACCTCTACTCAACTACCACTGTATTATTGTAGATACAGAGAGCCAAAATAGATAATTTTTTAGCATATTGCAGATGTGATAATACATCTGAAGTTTAAGTAGGTTTTTAAAGGTTTCTTTTATAGGAAAGGACTTAAAACTTAGATAACATAAAGCTTTGAATCACAACATACGTTGTAATGTTAATTTCATTTCAAAGGCGTATAATTAAATATTGAATATAATAAAGTGACTTGCACAGAAAAGGATTTAAAGGTGTACCCATTGCAAAAGGGTTAAATAAGATTTTAAAATGTTGATGGTATGTGAGGATGGTATAGACATGAGAGGTTATGCAAAGCTTTAAAGTGTCATGAAAAAAAAATCGAAATATTCTGGAAAATTATTTTTAGCCAATTGTGGTTAGTCCAATCTGTTAATCAAATGTTGAAAAAACTCCTTAGATTGAGAGTACATAACAAAATTTCCATATTTTTAATCTGAAAATTTTACTTATGAAATGAAATATATGTTGTAATATCTAGTAGACACTCAACAGCTTCTTCAGGAGCATTCCATTAAAACACAAACCATAACTGACAGTATAAAGCTTCAAAGCTCCTGAAGAAGCTGTGAAACAAAACGTGGAGAGTCCAATTAAAGATAAACAGCAATTTGATGCTATAAGGTCATATATTAAAACATCTTCAAATTGTTGTACATGTGGGAACACACTGCAAGATTGATACATTTATACTTTATACACGATAAAGAATGCCTAGTTCTATATCAAACATAAAACATTTTTTGCCTCTAAAGCGTATTACTTAGATTACTTATGGGAATTTAAGAGATTTTTGAGCCCCACGTAATTTGTAAATAAGCAGTTTAGGATCATCATAACATTATTACACTCATGTTACCAGATACTTTAAATTTTAAGTATAGTTAAACATTTATTTGGCTCAATATTATTTATAATAATTTACTACACTTTTAGATTTGAGTAAAAAGATAATTTCAGATTTTCTTATTTTGAGATGCAGATTTTTGTGAAGTTGATTACTTGTTTTTATTCTGTAGTTCAAGAAATCATTTTTTCAACAATTTAATGGCTGTAATTTTTGATATATGTTGCTATAAAAACAATAACCAATACTTAACTCTTTTCTCTTATCTAAATAAGCTGGCATGTTCTTACTATTGTGAAACTAAAAATTTTAGATGGTTCAGACCAGTAATGGTGAGGAGTCTCAACACGTTTATGGCCTTAATGACCCTGGCAGTCAATGGGCCTAAAGCCCAAATAACCAACTGGTAGCATTGCAAAGTGGCCTAATGATCAAATAGAGACAATGGTCTAAAAATACCACCCACCTTCCTAAAAAAAACTGGTAGCACACATTGCCTTGATATTAATACACATGAAAAAATTCATTTTGCACATTGATTCAAAATATTAAAGGGAAAATTGGTTCAGACATAGTTTTATTTATTATAAATAAGGTAAAGTTACACAGTACTTCTGTGTAAACATGTAAGAACATACTTTAATTTTTTTATGTAACGTAACTTGTAATTAATATGTATAATCTACAACTCTTAAGTTTCATTTTCAGGACAAAACCTTGAGATTATGGAGGTATATCGATGGAGAAGAAGTGTTTCAGTTAGACTATACAGATGGTATTTCTCATCTGTTGCTGTCTGATAAGAATAATGATCAGCAGTCTGTGGACGGTGATGACAAGAATCGTCATGAAGGAGTAGTGAGACAGCTGCAGAGTGATTCAGGAGAAAAACCAGGTTCTGTCGTGCGTTCAATACAATGTTTAAAACATTCCACTGGAGACCAGATTATTGCTTTACTTGATGGGTGAGTACAATGGGTTCCATTTCTGTGGCTGGACTTTACTTGATGGGTGAGTACAATGGGTTCTATTTCTGTGCCTGGGCTTTACTTGATGGGTGAGTACAATGGGTTCTATTTCTGTGCCTGGACTTTACTTGATGGGTGAGTACAATGGGTTCTATTTCTGTGCCTGGGCTTTACTTGATGGGTGAGTACAATGGGTTCCATTTCTGTGTGGCTGGACTTTACTTGATGGGTGAGTAAAATGGGTTCTATTTCTGTGGCTGGGCTTCACTTGATGGATGAGTGCAATGGGTTCTATTTCTGTAGCTGGGCTTTACTTGATGGGTGAGTACAATGGGTTCTATTTCTGTAGCTGGGCTTTACTTGATGGGTGAGTACAATGGGTTCTATTTCTGTAGCTGGGCTTTACTTGATGGGTGTGTACAATGTGTTCTATTTCTGTAGCTGGGCTTTATTTGATGGGTGAGTATAATAGGTTCTATTTCTGTGGCTAGTTTGTGATGAGCTTTTAAGCAACTTCCTATGTGGATCAATAATGTATCATGTTTCATGGCAATAGAATTAAATCTAGCTGACCAGTTGAACTCTGATATATATGTTTCACTGCAATAGAATTAAATCTAGCTGACCAGTTGAACTCTGATATATACTACAGTGTAGAGAGACCCATGAGGAAAACCAGGTCCAATCATTGATTCAACATAGGTGTTGTATAACATAGAACTTCTAATATTGTTTATATGATACAATGTACAGAGAGACCCATGAAGAAAACCAGGTCCTATCATTGATTCAATATAAGTGCTATTTAACTTAGAACTTCAATAAATGAATCATATAAATGATTGGTTAACTTTCTTAAACCTCTCACCATACACATTGCATGGGTACATCTACTGGTATTTGAATTTTATAAAGTATAGAGAATATATGATTTCTTCAGCTACTATGAGAGAAAACCAGGAAAACTTGCTATAATATACAGAATACATCCTTGTGAGCTATTGCAGAGACCATGAAATGTGACTACTTAGCCAAAAAGGAAAATTGTATTCATTGTCTTCCTTGAAAGATTAAATTTGAAATGAGGAATGTTCTTTCTCACTCCACTACATTGTACCTAAAAACGTACATCAGTAGGTATTTTTTTCATCATGAAGTATGATTGTGTAAAATTATCCACATGAAGATCAAATACTAATTTGCCAATACCAAGATGATCCAGAAGTTTTGGGGTGTTTTTTATTTGTTGTTTTTCATTATTATGTCCAAGGTTTTGATTTGTGTCATAAAACTTTAAAGCGAGACCTTAGTAAGTGTACCATGGTGCTTGATATCTTAAAATGTTTTATGTAAAAAAGGAAAAGTGTGACCTAATGGTTAACATGCTCATACTGTAAGTTTGAGGGTCCATGGTTTGTGGCCCATTGCTGCTGAAACTCACTCCATTTTTAAGAACTATGGGTGAGGTGTAATGGTGGCAATTAAATCCCATTATTCGGTCAAACAAGAGTAGTCCAAGAATTAGTGATAGATGGTAATATCTAGCAGTGAGCAGGTGTTGCTTTGAATGAAAATTCTGAAACAAATTGTTCTAAACTTCTACCAGTCATCATAGATTTTGATATAAGATCAATGTATGTACTTCTTTTAATCTAGAGTAAGAGTTTTAATTATTTATTTAGTAGTTTTGTTTTAGGATTACTTCATTATTTGGTATTATCAAAGTGTTGTTGAAGAAATACATTCAGCAATTGGTTTTCACTTTACAGAATACCTGGTGTGGCTGTCTATCAAGTAAATGTAGAAGTTTTGACAGAATCTATATCATGTCAATTTACCCAACTAATTACTTGTACAGCTGAGCCATGGGATTGTTGCATTGATGATAACAATTTTCTCTGGCTTCTTGTTCCACAAGAAGGACAAACAGTTAGGATTTTTGAGAGCAAAGGCAAACAGGTTAGTTTAAAATTAATTATACTAAGACATTAGTATTATATTTTTTAACACTACATTCTTTATCTAGTCCATTTGGGGTTTTCAAGAATTAGAAGATTGTATAATAATAATAATATTCCAACCACACACACTGCTTGCCATAGCCGTTGCTGTTGACACGTTTCACTCAGTGCAGAGCTCATTGGACCGAATGGTACACAACAAACACAGTAGTGGTCAAAACAATATTTATATAAGCCATTTGTTACAATATAAAAAATAATAGCCTAATAGTAATGTCTTATAAGAAGTATAATTAATTATAAGCATGCTTTGCCAGTTTGGAAAAGGAGTTCACACCATGAAAAGGTTAGTTTAAAACTTAGTAGAATTCGTGTGAAACAAATTTATAAGACTTTTTTTTTTCTTTGGTGAAAGTGTCAAGTATATTGTTATAAGACAAGACGGAAAACAGCTTTTCTCTCTGAAGCTCATTGCATAACCTCTAGAACCTCCTAGGTGAATATCAGAAGTTTTATTTTTTTGGTAAAATTATATTTTATCTGTCATTGTCTCCATCCTAACTAACTGTAGTGAAATAAAATTAACAATATCTTATACTTATTTTTCTCTGAATGAATCACTTTGCAAGGCAATGTGTTTTCTTATCATCATAGTTTCAACTGTTATCATTTTCATCTCTGTTTTCTTTTGTTTTATTACGTGTACTTTGAATCATTTTCCTCTGTCAAAAGCAGTAAAACATAGCAGTAGGTAGCCAGCTGTCAAGAGCAAAATTTGTGGTTTGTGCATTATTTGCATTAAAAAAAATTAAAGCTAAGCCTCTCTTGTTTCCACTAAGTTATTTATCCAAATAAAAATTCATGTAACTTTCAAATACCAGTCAAACTACCATAATTTTATTGGCCTTCTAACTAAACTAGCAGTAAGTTAAAAATTTTTATTAATTGCTCGGACCTGAACAACAATGATTGTAGGTAAAGAAAGTGAGCCCAACTGGCTAATATACCTTCCAAAAAGAATAACCATAATAAGATTCATGTAGAAGAAACAAATGCTCTTTTTATTGGTTATTAATGTGTCCATCAAATATATGTATGCAGTATAAATAACTTACTTGAAAGATATGATAAGATGGGAGGGGTTTCACTGGTGGATTTGACAAATTTATTGATAACTCATCAAATTGAGAAGGTAGGAGGTTAAAATCTTATATCAGACTTGCCAACATCTATAGCTTGTTACTAAGTGGTTGGACACTCTGGAACACACAAAACGAAAGAAAATGCATAAACACGTTATGTGGCACGGAGAATTGAAGATTAGGAATTTATTTAAATACTTCCTTTGGAAACTTGTATAATATTATAAAATACATTTTGATACCAATTTTACAAACACAGATTGTTAATAAAGTTGTTTGATTAAATTTTGAATAAAACTCTGTAAAAAGTTATGGCATGCACTTTGGCTTGGCCTGTAAAAATAGGGTTAACAGCCATCCAACTGAAACTTCCTGTAGTCTAAAAGCATGAAAATTTTGTTAGGGCTCACTGTTAAAGTTAAGTATTCATATGAAGGGCTATTTATTGAATGCAGGTCCAAGTTTTTTACAACATCTATATCCCATTATGAACTCATTTATTGTCCACTTTCTTGTTTTGATAATATATAAATCCCAGTGGATAATTAAATAATAAGAAGGACAAAAGGCAACAACTTGGTACAGTATAATCAGTCTTCTTTTTTCTCCATGTAGATTCAAGAAGTAACGAAAGAATCACAACCTCGGTATTTCCATATCACGGAGATTATGAACAAGCAATGGGAGTTTTTTGAAGGTAAAAAATTTCACAATTCTACATTTTTATATCATCCTTTAAGAGTTTGATAAAAGAGTTGTTAACTTGGCATCTTCAGTAATTCAAAAATTGAAGAATTAGATTACAAAATCATCAAGTTTTATAAATATTTTGATTTTGAAAATATTACATTTTAAACTGGCACTCTTTGTCATCTTCTGTAAACAAAATATATACGTGTGTGTGTGTGGGTTTGTATATATAACTTTTGTAGCTTACATAATTTCTGTTCTTTTACAACCTCTGCATGTATCTATATTTATTTCTATGTTTATAAAGTATCAATAATCCAGTCTATTAGTCTGCTAAACTAGTGTCGCCTGCATACTAGCAACAGCTGTTATGGTATTCTGCTGGAAGTGATCGTAAAAGTATTTTTTACATCATGGGTAAATGATAGTACTGTTAACTAACATACGTGGGGTATTAGTAGTATATCATTCTGTAATGATAGTATTATTATCTGGATAACAATGCAAACACTGAAAATAACTTAATATTCTATATTTGATGGTGATAGTATTGTTAGCAAGATTCATATGTAGGTATTAGTAATAATTATCCTGCTGTCAGGGTAATGTTTTTGTTATGAGACTAACTTTCTTCTCACTAAAGTATCATGGCCCTGCATGGCCAGGTGGTTAGGGTGCTTGACTCGCAATCTGAGGTTTGTAGGTTTGAATTCCCGTCCCACCAAACATGCTCACCCTTCCATCCATGGGGGCATTATAACGTGACAGTCAATCCCACTATTCGTTGATAAAAGAGTAGCCCAAGAGTTGGCAGTGGGTGGTGATGGCTAGCTGCCTTCCCTCTAGGTTTGCACTGCTAAATCATGGATGGCTAGTGAAGATAGCTCTCATGTAGCTTTGCATGAAATTCAAACCCAACTAATTACTGTGATGATGATAACAGTGATGATAACATGTATAGTTACACATACTCTGGGTACTTTCTCAACATAGTGGTATTAAGTATACTGTTAAACTGGATTAATAGTATGGTACATTTCTTTTATGACACATGCTACATTAATATACATAATACATACCTCTTTCATACTAAGTTTTGACATATGTTCTTCAGTTGTTACAGGATGAATGTGTAAAGAAAGGTTGAGTCTTCTTGCAGGATTGTCATCTAGGCATTTACATCTTTTAACTGCATAATTACTTAAATGAACTTTCAGATGGCAGGTTTTGAAAACTAAAGGAACTTTGGTCCTCTGTTTATTCTTGTTTGAATGTTACATTTTGGTCTGTTAGAGCAGGTTTATGCCTGAGGTTTGTCATGTTTAAACTATAACGAGTTCTGCAAAGTTATTTATTAGTGCTTTACTTTCAATGGCTGCAAATCCAGCAAGAAATTACTCTTGTACCAAAATAAATACCAAAAGTTCCAGTTTAGGGTTAAGCTCTGATATTATTTGTGATGTTCACAATATAGTTGTAGAAGTCTTGCATTTTACGTTATGTTAAGCTAGTGAGAGTTAATAGAGTTGTTCATAAAAAACATAAGTGGTTTAGCCTATCAGTCACTTATAACAGTTAGTGTTAAGATAACTTCACTTGAGAATAAATCTACAAGTGAATGTTCAAATTGTCTTGGTTGATTAATATCATTACAGAGTGAAGTAAACATCAGTTTGGTATTTTACATTTAAAAGTTTAAAAAGTTTGCGTACTTTATTTACAGTTATAACAAACAAAGTAACATATTAAGTAGAAGAAAGTGAAATATAACAAAGTATTTGTTTTTGTTCAGTTGGCTAGTGTGAAATTTACGTTTTTTATAAAACAAAGTAATATGATAAAAACAATTGTTTGTTTCTTTTTTTTCAGCTGCTAGTTCTGTCAGAACCAACTACCAATTCTTATACAAACAGTGGTATGATAACATGGAGGAATATAAAAGGAAGAAAGAGTACAGATTGCTACAGAAAGGACAGCAGGAAGATAAACAATGTAAAATGATCAAAACCAAATAATGTATATATATATATGTACAAGGAAATTAACAATATGTGATATTTTCTAAAATTATAATTGAAAAGTAAAGAATTAACAAACCTTTTTGTCTACAGCTGCATCTCAAACAGTAGTTTACAGAAATATTTTATTGTATTTCATTAGGCTTAATGAGATGAGTCTTAGCATAACACAGCAATTTGTCTCATTTCTATTGAAGAAGAAACCGAGAAATGATGGGTTTTTTTATAGGTGGGACATGACTTTTTTATATCAAATATGAAGATTGGAAATTTAACATTCTCACTTTTTTAAAGAGAAACTTTCTTTATTAGTAAAACCTTTAGGATGATGAGACACTGTCGTTCTTAAAATTAGTCTCTAACAAAGTTCATAGTTTGCAGCCTTACCACCAAAATTTGTTCCAAACTTTGGGGGCCACGGTGTGCTATAACTGGTAGTCAAGTCCCACCATTTGACCAGATGAGGTGTTGTTGAATGGCTGCATTTCCTCTTGTCTACCACTTCAAAATTAAAGATAACTATGTGCAGATTGGCCTTTGTGTAGCTTGTACAAAAAATCAGGAACAAAAGTTTATCATAACCAAAAATTTATTATTGTAGATCTACATCATAATCAAAATCATTCTTATAAATCTGGTATTCAAGCTTTGTTTTTTTTTTTTCTTCCCGATTTTAAAAAAATCTTTAAGTGATGGAAACAAATTAATATTATTTGCGAAATCTGAGTAGCTGAATTATGTAATATCCGTTATTAAAACCAAAACAACTTTTATTAAGTTTAAATTCACAGGCCTAATGTTATAGTATATACACTGAGTGGTCACAAGTAAACAGACACCTAATTTTTCGTCATTTAACTGATTTATGCTAACTAATTTGTGTTCACAGAGCA